AGAGAGAGAGAGAGAGAGAGAGAGAGAGAGAGAGAGAGAGAGAGAGAGAAATAGAGGAGGGGAGAAGGAGGAAGAGGGAGAAAGAGCGTCCGCATTCGTCTTTGATCAATTTGCTAGGTACGTGTGAGGTACGTTTTGACGTGCAATTTTCGGCTTAATTGCAACAACGATATCTCGTTCGCCATTCGCGTGACCACTGTGTCACGACGTGGATCATCATGTTCCGCGGGAATTAGACATGATCAATTACAAAGACCTAAAAGCGAGCGAGCTGAAAGGAAGACAGGCAAACGTGAATTTCGTGTCACACCACGGTGATAATAGTAGCACCAACAACAATAGTATACGAAGAGAATGTTATAGTCTTTTTTCATATAAATTCTTTTCAATGTTACTATGTTTTTAATAGTGCAGGGATATACTATCAGTAAGGTCTATCCTGCTAAGAAATATGATACATTTTGCTAGAAAAATATATTGAAAAAAAAATATATCGGAAAAATAAAAAAATATTTATTCAGTGAATATCAATATGTTATCAATAACATATTTACTTATATCTAAATATTATTTTATTTACATAGAATAAGCAGTAATATAATATATATTGCTTTCATGAAAAGCTAAGAATTTATGAATATGCATATTTCCTTATTTGGAAGAAATATTTTATATTGATATAAGTAAATATCTTATTACCCGCCGAATAAATATTTTTTGATTTTTTAGATATTTTCTTCTCAACGTAACAAATTTTTTAATAGCGCATTCCGGTATATTATGTGTATAAGTAGCTTATGAGAAAAGGATAGTCAATTACTGCAAAGTGTCGACCTGCTGCTCAGTTACAAAATCCTATAGCAACTTTTAGTGTGAAATTCTGTCCGTGCGACAGTGATGGTAGTGGTAAAATACTTACAATTCATGTCCACGCTGACCGACGACGACAGCGGGATCGACCTATTGTTATTCGTGGCGTTGCAGGTCAGTACCGAGTGTACGTCGTCCCGGCCCAAATTTTGTATAACGATCTCGGTGCGTGTCACGCCGTTGCGCAGCGCACTGGTCCTGTTGCTGGCGAATTTGTCGTTGCGATACCAGGACACCGTCGGGGTCGGCTTACCTGCGGAAATACATCAATTTTGTTTGAATCGAAACGCGCGCGCGCGTCAATCTTGCAGAGAAAAATTATCGAGTGCCCGGGGCTCGTTGTACCGAGTCGCGAATCGTCGTATCGCTCGTGCGACTATCTCCCTCCGCCTTTTATCTATGTTCCGACAATATTTTACGGAGCAGTTCTTTTCGGAGCAGGTGCTCCGAAGGATTTTAACGTCGATATTTTTCGCTCGAAAATTGCCAAGTATGTATTATGATACCGGCGCGCCGCAGCCGACGCTCTGTCGCACGCGCGCGATTGTAACGATATAATACGAACGTCAATTTATATTATATCGAGTTCGGGGGGAAGCTTGGTTCAAAAGCGCGATATAATATAATAATGATGAAATATATATATATATATATATATATATATATATATATATATATTAATTATGTCGTGTAATTGCCGAAGAGAGGGAGCGAGAGGGGGGGAGAGAGAGAGAGAGAGAGAGAGAGAGAGAGAGAGGGAGGAAGGGTGCCGTCATAGATCGAACATGAAATTGGTCTTTTATTATAAACGGGCGGGACAGTGCGCCATTAAACAACGCGGGCCAGAATATGCATTACATCCGAGCGCGATCATTCGAGCGCGCGAACACTTGGATTATGTATCCGCAATTATCCGACGCGTCGTGCGGTGTACATATCTGAATACCTAATTACTTAATATAATTGATGACGTAAATTAAGGAATGTAATTAACGTGGCAAATGAATGAAGAGATCAGCGCGAACTTGTTAATGTACATAAATACATATATTCATAAATACAATATATTCCGACATGTGAATGTAGAGGCGGATACTTAATTAACGCGCGTGCATTACAACTCGTTGAGCGCTATACGTTGCAATACGTAGGAAATCTCCCATGGAGGTAATTTATTAAAGTCTTTAGCGGAAATCTGGAGATTGTTCAGCGCGGCGCGGATTGCTCTCGTTGCAACCGCGGATTCGCAACGGCGAATTGCAAGTGCTGATAATATTTTCTCGATGCTCACACACTCTCTCTCTCTCTCTCTCTCGAGGTCTGTTCTTTTTAGCTGAACTGTCTGAACTGGTGCATACTGGTGCAATAAGTCAGAGTGAGACAAACATATTTTGTTTCACTCTAACTTATTGCACCAATTCAGGCATTTCAGATAAAAAGAACAGACTTTTTCTCTCTCTCCTTCTCTTTCCGCGACAGGAGACCTCGCGACGCGAGTACGGGTTTAATTTGTTTCTCGTGCGGTGCTCATTCCGCCGCAGTTTCACGTAGGCGAAATGCGCCACGCAACGCCACTCTGAGAGCGCGCACGGCACAAACAAACTTGTATTATTTAACCGCGGGCACCGATTATTTTGCAGCGAGTAAATATTTACATCATACAATGTAATTTATAATGCAATTAATGACATAATTTAAATAATAAATTAATGCACA